TTATAGGAAAGCTAGGAGTCTATGATGCTGATGGTGACGGCGATTTTGATGTGGATGATGCCAAAGTTTTATTAGGCAAGTGCAAATTTTATTTTTTGTTAGTGGTGAGTAAGTGCTGGAAACCAAACTTTAATAATATCTGTGTGGATTGTATACATTTTATGTGAGATAGTTTTCCACTTAAATGATATATTTCATTCTTGTTGAGATGTTAAATGACTTAATTGCTTTTCCATAGACTCTTACATTTCAGTTCACTTTTATAAATGGATAAGTACATAGCTCTTGCACATTTTTAATAAGTGTAATAATTTTATATGTTTTCAGATTTAAAGCACTGTGTATTCTGAACTTAATATTTGAACATATAGACAACGTTCTTGTCTGTTTTCAAGTAGGGTAATTGTAGCCATTCTTCAGTAGCATTTGACATAATTCACTTACATCTAAAAATATAAATCTCTAAAGGCTTAAAGCTTTACATAAATTCATTTTGAAATAAAATTGTGATAGTAAACATCTTAAAATGTCCTATGCATGTTTTGAAGGCCACATTAAAGTATGATCTAATGGTCTTTTGACCAGGTTTCATTATTTTGGAACTCTTGGACCCTTTCCTTTTTATCACTAGAATTCCCTGTCGTTATCACTGAGATATTTCTTGTAATAAATGAAAAATGTGGTATTCTCTCATTTGTCTTAAAATACCGTGTTACTAGAAAGGATGTCACACATGTAATCTCATCTGGTGAGATACGTATTTCTCCTTGCAAAACAGCACCATTTCATTTAGTATGTAGCATACCATATATTAAAACTTTTTATATTAAAACCTTTAGAAAGCTAATGAATATAGCAAGGTATTATACATTCAGCTTTCTAAAATAACAACACAAGAAATTCTTCCCAGACAAACTCTGTCGTGTTTATTTTATGGACATGTGGTGGTGGACATGAAGAAATGGGAGGATACCACATCTGTAACCAGTGAAACTGTCTTTAGTAGGTTATTCTCACCTCCTTATAAAACAATAAGTTCTGAATATGCAAAAAGGTTTTAAATGTGATAAAGTGTAATATAGCCTCTTAATTATGGCCTGTCTTAGTTTATGTTTTCTTATTATTGCTCTGTGGGAATTGGTGTTTCTTACTTAAAGTAGAAGCCTATTGTCCATGAAAATTCTTTTCCTCAACTGTAGTGAAAATTTTTATGCAATTCTGTCTTTATAGATCTAAAATTGAGTTTTTATAAATCTATCCTTAGAAGATACATCCTAGGCATGTGAAAGAAACAAAATTATATAGAATGTAGCATATCAGAATGGTGCTAATTTGTCTATTAAATGGTTTATTACTCCGTTATATTTTTTTAAATGGTAAATTCTGAAATCAAATACCAATTTCCTTGCACAACCGATCTTTGGGATTTATATTAAACAAATACGTTCTCTTAATAAAGATCTTTTTAAAAAATCTCTAAACCTTATTTAGTATGTTGAAAATTTAGCAATTTTAAGAATAGTGAGGTTTCTTCTTTTTAAAAATAACTTCATGTGGGCCAAATTTTTAGAAATAATATTACTTCTGATCTACTGTATTTTATTGATTTCTTTTTTAACTTAAAATCACGTTTCTGGTCTGTCAGGCAGGAAATGTCAATTGTTTAAAGTTAAAAAGTAGTTTTTCTTCTATTGAACACACTCATTTGTATAGCAACTTGACTTTTAGTATTACTGTATTTTTATGCAAATAACTTGGGCCTTCTATGTTTGTTTGCCAGCTGCGCCTACCTCCCCCCACCCTCAAGGTATTTTCATAAGCACTGTTATGCCTTA